GGGTCTGATTTTTTTCAGTTCTTTATATATTCTAGATTAGTAGTCCTTTGTCTGAGGAACTGCTGCTAAAAATTTCTTGCCACATTGTAGTTTGTCTCTTAGCTGTGTTGGTGGTTTCTCTTGCAGTGCAGAAACTTTTTAATTAGTTGAGATCCCAATTGTTGATTCTTTGTGGTAGCTCCCGTGCTACTGAGGTTTGGTTCATAAAGTCTTTTCCTATGCCAATGTCTTCAAGAGTTCTACCTAACTTATCATCCAGCAAGTTTAGTGTTTCTGTTTTAATATTTAGATCTTTAATCAACCTCGATCTTAGTTTAGTGCATGGTGATAATTATGGGTCTAGTTTTAATTGTTAGCAGGTTGAAATCCAGTTTTTCCAACACCATTTATTAAATAGTCTATCTTTTCTCCAATGAGGGTGGTTTGTTCCTTTGTCAAAGATGAGGTGGCTTAGCATGTCTGGAGTTGATTCTGCATCTTCTAATCTGTTCCACTGATCCTCGGATCTGTTTCTTTGCCAGTACCATGCTGTTTTTATCACAGTAACTTTGTAGTATAGTTTCAAGTTGGGGATTGTGATACCCCCGGCCATGTCTCTGTTGCCTAGAATTGCTTTTGCTATTCTAGGTCTCTTCTGATTACAAATGAATTTTTGGATTACCTTCTCTAGTTCTGTGAAGTATATTGTTGGAATTTCAATCATCATTGCACGAAATCTATGTAGTAGTTTTGGAAGTATGGTTATTTTCATTACATTTGTTCTGCCTACCCAGGAGCAAGGGATGTCTTTCCATTTTCTTATATCCTCTTCGATCTTTTTTTCAGAGTGCTATAGTTTTCAGTGTAGAGATCCTTTGTTAGATTGATTCCTAAATATTTCATTTTTTTGGATGCTATTGTGAAAGGAATTGTTTCCCTAATTTCTTTCTCAGTGAGTCTGTTATTTGTGTATAAGAAGGCTATTGTTTTTTGAGGGTTGACCTTGTATCTAGCTACTCTACTGAATCTGTCAATTAAGTCTAGAAGTCTTTTGGTGGAGTTTTTTGGGCTTTCAATGTAAAGTGTCATATCATCAGCACATAATGATAGTTTAACTTCTTCCTTTCCTATCTTCATTCCTTTTATTTCTTTATCTTTTCTAATTGCTGTGGCTAATGTTTCTAGAAATATATTGAACAGGAGTGATGGTAGAGGGCATCCTTGTCTTGTTCCTGATTTTAGCAAGAAAGTTTTCAATTTTTGACCATTTAGTATGATGTTGGCTGTTGGTTTTTCATAGATAACCTTAATCAGGTTGAGATAAAGACCTTCTATTCCAATTTTCTGTAGGGTTTTTATCATGAATGGGTGTTGGATTTTGTTGAATGCTTTTTCTGCATCAATTGAGATGATCATATGTTT